TTGTATGTCTGCAACCATCTTAGGCCAATAGAAGTGCTCTTGTAACATATTCAAGGTCTTTGTAATGCCAAAGTGACCAGCAATTCCTCCTCCATGAGCCTCTCTAACAACTAGCTCTCGGATTGAACACTTAGGAAGACAAAGTCGATTTCCTTTGAAAATAAAACCATCTTGCAACAAGTAGGAACCTACGGCCCCCTTTGAACAATCATCAACTATTGTAGCAAAGTCATCATCTCCTTTATAGTACTCTTTAATCAATTCAAAACCAAGCAATTTTCTATCAAGAATACCTTGCAAAGAATACCTTCTTGGAAGTGCATCCGCCACTACATTAGCTTTCCCTTCTTTGTACTTAGAAGGAAAAATTAAATGATTGTAAGAATTCAACCCACTTAGCATGTCTAGAATTAAGATTTTGCTGCCCATGTATGTACTTCAATGCTTCATGATCGGAATGCAACACAAAGTGGTTAGGTCTTAAGTAATGACTCCAATGATCCAAAGCTCTCACAATAGCATAGAATTCTTTATCATAAGTAGAATAATTCAAACGAGATCCATTTAATTTCTCACTAAAGTAAGCTATAGGACACTTCTTCTGTAACAAAACCGCTCCAATCCCAACTCCACTTGCATCGGTTTCGACTTCAAAAGGTATTGTAAAATCTGGTAAAGCAAGTATAGGTGCTTCACATAGCTTCCTTTTAATCAACTCAAATTCACTTTGAGCTTCTTTAGTCCACTCGAATTTCCCCTTTTCTTTCTTCAAACACTCGGTCATAGGTGCCACAACACTAGAGAAATTCTTAACAAATCGTCTATAAAATGAAGCTAAACCATGAAAAGATCTTACTTCACTAACATTAGTTGGAATAGGCCAAGTTCTAATAGCCTCCACCTTCGACTTATCCACTGAAACTCCATCTTTAGACACGACATAACCAAGAAAAGTAACACTAGGCACTAAGAAAAAGCATTTTTCAAGCTTAGCATAGAGTTTCTTTTCCCTGAATACTTCAAACACACTTCTAAGATGGTTTAGATGATCATTCAAATTTTTAGAGTAAATTAAAATATCATCTAAGTAAACAACCACAAATTTACCAAGGAAAGGTTTGACTACCTTGTTCATCAATCTCATGAAAGTGCTTGGAGCATTGGTAAGACCAAACGGCATCACCAACCATTCATACAACCCAACTTTTGTCTTGAAGGTTGTTTTCCACTCATCTCCTTCTCTCATTCGAATTTGATGATATCCACTCATAAGATCAATTTTTTAGAACAATTTCGAACCATGTAATTCATCAAGTAAGTCATCCAATCTTGAAATAGGAAATCGATACTTGATTGTGATGTTATTCACACTTCTACTATCAATACACATGTGCCAACTTTCATCCTTCTTAGGAACAAGTAGTGTAGGCACGGCACAAGGACTCATGCTCTCTCTAACATAACCTCTTGTCATAAGTACCTCAATTTGCCTTTGCATTTCTTTGGTTTCTTCTGGATTACTCCTATAAGCTGCTTTGTTAGGCAATGGTGCTCCCGGAATCAAATCAATTTGATGCTCTATCCCACGAATTGGAGGTAGTCCCGGAGGTAACTCCTTGGGAAATACGTCTTGAAACTCTTCCAAGACTACTTCTAATTCAATTGGCCTCTTCCCTTGTTCTTCTTTGTCAATTCGGACCTCATTAGAAACAAGTAGGTACACCATGTTGTTATTACCAATTTCTTTCTCCACTTCCCTCTCACTGATCAATAGGAACTCTTCGAATTAGAGGTAGTAATAGAAGGTTTATTGTTTATCAAAGGTTTCAATGCAACCGGCTTCTTGTTTTCTCCTTTCCTCACAACATACACATTAGTCCTTCCATCAAATTTCACAAATCTATCATATTTCCAAGTACGGCCTAATAGTATATGTCATGCATCCATAGGACAAACATCACACAAAACTTTGTCATGAAATTTACCAATTGAAAAGGATATTAAAGCTTGTTTATTCACCTTGACATCACTCGAATTATTAAGCCAATGAAGCTTGTAAGGGTTTGGATGCTCGGTAATTGGCCACTCTAATTTATCTACCAAAGTAGTAGACACTACATTGGTGCAACTTCCCGTGTCTATGATCATATTACACAACCTATCTTTCACTTTGCACCTTGTATGAAAAATCTTTTCTCTTTGATCGCCCTCCATAGGTGTTGGTTTCGAATGTAACGTTCTTCTTAGGACCAAACTTTGACCTTGAGTCTCGGGATCAATTTCTTCCATGTTTTCCTCCTCTTCTTCAAAGTTTTCTTCATCCTTTTCATCGTCACTACCTTACTCACACATAGCCTGCTCTTGTTCCCATTCTTGTGCAATCATGACCCTTTTAGAAGGACAATCACTTGCAATGTGACCAACACTACCACACTTAAAGCACTTCCTTCCTTCCACAAACTTCTTGTTAGTTTCGAATTTAGGTTTAGAATCTTTGTAATTCGAACTTGAACTACCCTTTTCCACATTAGCTTTCTCAAAAGGTTTTTAGAATCCTTTTATAAACAGTTTAGAGAATGAGCTTTTCTTCCCTTTTAATTGTTTTTCAGCTTTGATAGTCACTTTACACACATCCTCAAAAGACCAATATTGTTGTAATTCAACTTTTTCAGCAATATTATCATTCTATCCCGAAATAAATCTAGCAATCTTATGTTCAACAATCTCTTCTAAACCACATAGCATGCATAACTTCTCAAATTCAACAATATAATTCTCAACAATCATAGAATTTTGTTTAAAAGTTTGCATCTTAAGATAGATATCTTGAATATAATCACTAGGAACAAACCTCTTTTTCATGTGCTTCTTGAGTTGCTCCCAAGTTGTGATTTTGTTACGCCCTTCTTTATGCCTCTTCTTTTTCAAATTATCATACCAAAGACTAGCATAACCAGTGAGCTTCAACTCCGCAAGTTTACACTTCTTTCTTTCATCATACTCTTTATAATCAAAGAGTGTTTCGGCCCTTCTAATCCATTCAAAATATTTCTCTGGTTCATTCATACTCCCATTGAATTCGGGAAGGTCTAACCTAAGGTTTCTATCATCATCTTTAGGTCTATCCCTTCTCCTAGGTCTAGGTGAATCATCACTTGATGAATAATTCTTTCGTGACCTCCTAGGGTTTCTCCTTGGTTGTTCTTCCTCACTTGAACTAGAATTAGGGTTAGAATCACCCCTCTTTGAAGAAGATCCATCACGAGTATCAAGTCTCTTCAATACCTCCTCCAACCTTGCTGCTAGTTCGGTGATTTGCCTATCTCTTCCAAGATTTTGCGCTTGTTCTAAGGTTAAACCCCTTGGAAGCTGTGGAACCTCTTCGTAACTCATTATTCCTACACAAACCAAGTTAGTCTATGCGAAAATCTTGATTAAAAGATCAAATCTTGAAGCAAACAACAACCGGACTCCCAACCCGTATTCCAGTGAAACAACACCAAAAGTTTAAGGCTGTAAAGCGTTTGTTACTCAACCAAATGATACTAAATTTTAGGTGAAGATAGCTAGACGTTTTTCGAGTCTAATTCAAAAAGAATCACTCAAAAATTCCAAGCCAAACGTTACCAGTTTAAATTCTGCCGAAACCGTGTTCTGATACCAATATGATGTGATTTTTAGTCCGAAAACTAAGCCTCACAAAGATATGAATCTAACCTAATTCTATACAGGAAATTCACCAAGAATTAAGCAAGAAACTTAGATTAATTAATCAAGAATCCACCTAAATAATCAACCTAGATGATTGTTTTAACTAAAACAAACAAAACAGCAAATTGGAATCCACCAATCAAGAATTTAAGTAATCCAACTTAAACAAAAGCAATAAGCAATATTCTTATGAATGTATGATTAAACTTGTATATGTCCAATTCGAAGATTACAAATCTTTATTTATAGGCTAGACTCAACTATCCTTAAGATAGAATTTGATAATTCCATCCTAACTCAAGCTTGCACTCCAAGCTATTATTGACGCCTACTAGACTAAAACAAGTCCTAATTAACTTAGGAACTCACTAGGCTAAAAACAAGTCCTAATCAATTTAGGAACTTATTAAGCTAAACCAATTCCTAATTGAATTAGAAATCCTAAGTGCTTAAAACAAGAAAAACCCTTTCAAGTGAAAGGTAAAAACTTGTAAGCAAACTCTAAAAATAACTAAGTAAAGAAGACTCCAACATCAAGCTAAACCAAGGAAGGCTACAAGGCAAACCGTAGCCTTACTTTGATGACCCGTGAAGTGACCATGAATTGCGTGATCTGAGTCCAAATTGAGGGCTAATGTTTCTTCATGTTGATTTATCAAATCTTCCAAGTTCGTCCTCCGTATCATTTCCTAGGATCGTCGGCATGTCTAAAAACATGACCCATAGTAGGGTGAGATAAAATCCCCTACAACACCCTAGTAGCAAAGAGTGTAAAGTAGGATCATAACAACCCCTTAGGAAAAATCTTCCCTTCGCGGCGGCTTTTCAAACTGCCACAGGCGATGGTGGCAAGCTTTACTCACGTGGAAGAAGGTGGTTGGCTGATTATTGTGGAATGGAGAATGGAGAAAGAAAAGGACGAAAATACAAAGATGCCCAATTAAACAGGTGAAATGACACAAATAACCCTAATTTGCAAACAATGTTACCTCTAATTAATTTCTCAACATTGCATTATTTAATTATTTATAACTAAGCACATTTATTTGCTGGCACAATACATTGACTATAAAAAAATTTAAACCATGCTTTAGTATTACATAAAGATAATAAAATTTGGTAATCAAAGTTAATACGAAGTATAAGAATAGTGTAGTCGAAAATGATGCTGAAAAACAATAACATTTTCAAAAACCTAGCTTTCTTTCTTTTTTTAGTATTTATATTTACTTTTCTTTATGATTTTGATTAATTATCGTTGTACTGGCGTTTTAAGAATTAGGTAAATATAAAAAAAGCACCGGATAATTTCCAAAACTAAGAATAACTAAATGGCTTTACAACCTTTAGTTGCTTTAGTATATACCTAAAAACTATACCTAAAAACCACCCAATCCAGTTATGTGTTTCTTCATGGCTCTATCTTTTCTGTAATGATTATTCCTTCCTCCTCCCCGTCTTCCACAGCCCCTTCCCCTTCCTCTTCCAGCATTACCTCCACCATCCATTTCCGAAGGATCAGACTCCTCCACTTCTACTTGGTTCTGCTCTACTAGAATCTTAACAGCACCAAGAGGACGGTTACCACCACGTCCAAGTCCATGTATTTGTTCCTTCTGGGCTTGATTAATTAAAGATGCTTGCTTTTGGTCAGCAACTGCAACAGATCCTTCAACCTTGTAACTGTAGTTCTTACCATCCTTGACATAAAACTGAGGTTTCTTTTTAGAACTCCATTTGGAAGTAGCTGTGCTGGAACCAGAACCATGGCTTTCAGCCCCAGAGGACACACTCAATTTTGAACGGATTTTCTCACCTAAAATCTCTGTCTCCTCCACACCCGATTCCATAACAGTCATGCCGAGGTCATCAAAAGAGTCATCATACTCATCCTCATATTCATATTGTGACAACAAAGCAGTCGTCTTTTCCATGTGCTTTTCATCTCTAGAACCCAAAGTAGCATGATCAGGTTGGTCATCTTTAGATTTTCTGATGAATCGTCCAACTGAAGATGATATGGAGGACCCTGATGAAGAAACTGCTTCATGGTTTGGCTTCTGAGGTTTTATGATTGAATTTGTAGTAGGCGGTTCTGTAGATTCCACAAAAATACCCTTTCCTTTATCTTTTTTTGTCAACTGTGGAGCAGACTTAGTTGGAATTATCTCCATTATTTTAGTATCCAATTTCCGCAGATCTTCATGCAAAGTTCCCTCCAAAATCCTTTGAATCACCTCCTCAGGATTATGGTCATAGGCTTCAAGACAAGCTGATATAAATCCTTTTCCATAATCAGGGAAAAGATCTTTCACTTGACTAATCTTTGACTCTGTGATTGCAGCATCTTCTGCCACTTGCAAGCCATCACTTCTATCAGAGTTTGGAGCACTGGGTAACTTTCTAGAAACGGCAGGTAATGGATGTGTCATCATCGCAGTCAAGTATTGGTATTGCTCATCATCTATGAATACCCATCCTGCATCAAAACATTTGAATATAGCAATCATTAAATTTTGAGAAAGGTTCTCCATTTGTTAAACAGCTGAATACAGGTAACAATGCTATCTCAGTCATTCATGTTAAGGCTACGAAGTCATGCCCAAAACCAATTTAATATATTGGAAAATTAGTGGAGAGCACACAGAAAAGGACACTACAATGTCATACAGAGAAGAGACTGTTAAGAAATTACAAAAGAAACAAAAAATTTCTCAATAAACACAGCTTTGTCTAAAAAATATTTACCACTTTTTTTGAGGCTCTGAATTCTGTGCATGATTTGAAAGTTTCTTTCAATGTTTTGTAGGAATGTACCCCTGTGATGTTTGCCCTGAGGAACTGCAGCAATCTCCTTAAACGTTTGAACCAATATATCAGCCCTTATAACAGGATCCTCAACACTAGCAGGAAACATCTTCATGGCAGCAGGAAAGGGAAGGTTATCTTTAAAAAACTCCTCGCTCAGGTAACAATTATCTAATAGTTTCCAACCAAGACCAACTAATCTTGAAGATAACATTTTCAAACTAAGAGAAACATCAGAAAGCATGGGAGATGTTTCCTTTCCTGCAGCTAAAATGATTTGAAGCCCTTGTTGTAACAAGGGTAGCAGAGAGTCATGCAAAGTTGCAAGAACATTGATCAATTCCTCGTTACAGTGACTGCGAAAACAGAGCAACTCAACTTTTTAATAAAACAAAAGGATGTCATTACCAGTGTATAAGGTGACAAATAATAACTGTTTGCATAAAACAGGCAAGTAAAATTTAAATTATGCAATTGGTACCTAGCATCAACAGGGCAAGAGAGGTAAAGAGCTGCAGGCTTATAAGCACTAACAAATGTGTCCATGGATACAACAGCATCATTTAGAAAATCCATCACCTATAAACAAGAACAAACATGACAGACCATTCACAAAGCCTATACATTACACCAGCCCAATGCAAAATTAGAAAACAGTATGATGACTGGTGAACAGAGGGGGGGAGGGCAAAGGAAAAGAAATTGTTGTACAATAGACACCATTTACCAGAATTAGAAACATTTCTGTTAGGAATACAGCTACGTTTCTCACAATCAGACATGAACAAACTATTATAGGATTTTAAGATAAAATGGTTTAGGAACAGGAAAAGAAGAAAAATTTAGCCGAAGCTTAAGATATGGTCATCAAACTGATCAAGCTCAATTAGAATCCCTCCACATTCAAGAGGTGGACGCAACTATAAGGTTTCTCGCTCTAGTTTTCTGAATATCCTCCCCTATTAATCATATCATCATCCACTACTTGGATGCTTGCTCTATGCCATTCCTGCCAACTTCCTAACCTCCACTTGTAGTAACTAACTTTGGATACACAATGCCCTACTTGCCCTTTGTGTTCCTTGTGGCATTGATTGGGAGGTTTGGGCTGCTTTGTTGCATATTTTCCTACTTGATACAGCCACTTTTAATTGATATTGCCACAATCAACTTAGATAAGAGGCAAATAGTAAGAGAAGGCAGCAGAAGAAAGTCTCGCTTGTAAGTGGGAGGAAAAAAACCAAGTGAAGAGATTAACCAACCTCTAAGTATTCTATATGTTGTTGGCTAGGTCCATTGTATACACAGCCACCAGCAGAAATCAAAACCTGTACAAGGAAAGGAATTGACTTAGATTTCCATAATTATTGATAGGAAACAATCTAAGAAGAGTAAATCATACTCAGTATACTGTAAGTTCAACTGGGCTTAGACCACCTCCCCAAAACAAGCATGCACTGTTTGATATAATAATAATAATAATAATAATAATAATAATAATAATAATAATAATAATAATAATAATAATAATAATATTATCTCCCCACTAATTTCTTGTAAATCGTTTGACTTTGTAGGTGTTTATTATTATTATTATTATTATTATAATAATAATAATAATAATAATAATAATAATAATATTTTCCTCCGCATTTTATTACTTGCTCCATTTTTCCATGCGCGGAGTTTTAGGAGAAATAGTAGGAAGTAATAAAATATGATAAAAGTGGGGTAAGTTGAAGAATAAAAAAAATCTAAAAAAACAAAAGAGAGTATAAGTGGGGAGGAGAGAGAATATGAAATACATCAAAATATAAGATGAAGGGACTACTAGTGGGGAGGAAAATAGTAAAATATTGTTTAAGGTTTCCAAAAAAGGAAATGGAGCAAGTAATAAATACGGCCGCAAAAGGAAACTGGAGCAAGTAATAAAATACGGAAGGAGTAACTAGATAAGTTGTCAAAAGCCTGGACAGGGGACAGGGAAGTCAACTTCAAACTTGAAAAGTAACCTATGTACAGAGACAAGTCTATACAAATATACAGAAGCCATGTTTAAATCTTCATACAAGAACAGCTAGCTACTTTTATAGGGGATATTGTCAACTACACAAGACAGAAAAGCTTTGAAATATTAGAATTAACTTTCCAAGTTTGTCACACAAATTCATCCACTAATGCCAAATATTTCATGATTAGAGTCCCTCACCAGTTTCAATTACACATATATTTTTTTGTCTGAAAGTGTATTAAATCAATATATCTTGTTTCTTGTTGTTGACCTTTTTATTTAACCAAGCTCTCACAATTTTCTACATTTTTTAATCAATATTCGAGTAAAGGAATTAAGGATCTACGTAGAGCTATCCCCTTCATGTGTTTTTTCTAAGATGGTCTGAGTTAAGTAGGGTCCTATAAAAGGTCAGTGTTAAATTACCACTGACTGTTTAATGAGAAAAAATTACCCAAGCTATTGGGAAAGTAGCTATGCACACCTACACAAGGGGAAGTTCGAAAAATTGAACGGGTATCTAGGAACCATTTTATAGGATGACTATGAGCTGATAAATATAAGGATAACTTTGTACTCCCTCCATCCCTAAAAAATTGCCCCAAACTTCAATTTGTGCACATGGGTGAACACAATTATTGATGAGGAGAGAGATAGAGCAAACTGAAAGTAGAAAATTTTACCAATTAAAGTTTAACAAAACAAAGTTTCATTTGAAAATTAATGTGAAATGCCTTTAATCAACATGGGACAACTTGAAATTACAGAAAGTATAAACTAATGATTTAGTTCATGAAACTTTAGTTCAGGATATTTGAAATTAAAGACTAAGAAAATAATTTACTCATTAATTAGTTGATTGTACTGTTATTTGTAGCTTCTTCGATGAGTGGATTGTCTTAATGGCTGGCATATATGATTGGATGATTTGGTCCCTGCTCATAGAGCGTGAGTTCGTCTGTACCCTTTATTATTGCTTATTATGACAAATCTTTTTTTAATTCATTTAGATGAAAGTAGAAATCAGAACTGATTATCTTAGATATGCTAAAGGTACCTCTAAAACTATACCGAGAATACAAACACATAAAGTACAAATGGTATTCTAATTAAATCAATAAGTGAACATTTTCCGAGCAACAGCATAATTAAAATAGATGCACTAACCATGGAATTTAACAAGTATAATATTTAGGGTTGCTTGGGGTTAAACCAGTAAGGCAGTAAGTAAAACATAGCAAATTTATGGCTTTGTGAGCAGTAAATGAACTAACAACACTTGAACAAGGAATATCAGCAAATTCAGAAACAAATTATGTAGCTCAGGTTCAGATGAACTGATTGATCAGATTAAATTCAGCCTCCAGCCAATAAGCTCTTCAACAAACTTATTAATCTTACATTTAGTCAAATGCCATTTGTTCAATATTAAACCCAAAAGATGCAAAGAATTACCTCTAAAGATGAACTGCAACGTTCACACATTGTGCGTACAATGCCCAAGAAATGCGACAACATGGTAGTGAAACTTCTGTAGGTATCAGACTGCGCATTTATAGCATTCAAAACCTGGATCAGAAGAAAATAGTTATTTATAGTCTCCTAAAAAGGAAAGCATTAGTATTTGTAGGCATAGCTCACAGCAGATCAATAATGATCCTAGAAGGGCTATTCAACTTCCACCGGCATGGTACTTAATGCAGTGGAAGTTCTATGCAACTATGCAGAATCCTACAATAAGAGGCACTTATTTTTTAGTGAGCATGCACCTTTAAACATGTATCTCCATCAAAACATGCCTATTCCAGACACCCAAAACAGAAATTTTTTTTTTTTCATGCTTTATCTAAGAAATGTCAGGAACCAATTTCAAGTAAGGACAAGGAAAAAAACAGAGTACACAGCCAAAAATAGAGAACAAAAAAGCATAAACAATATATTGCCCTCTTATTATAGGTTTAATATTATGATGCCCTCTTATTATGATGCCCTCTCTCTCTGTATTTTTGAATAATATATACTATACAAGCTTCTTTCTCTTAGCCCTCTCTCTCTAGCCTCTACCCTCAATTTTTAAGCAAAACCAGAAAGTAATAGCCTGACCCTTGTCAAGATTTCTTATCTGTCTATAGATCTGTGGTTTCCACCTAAAAGAGGGGACAAGACTTACAGATTGAGAATGAGACAATTGGTTGAGAACTACTTGAGGATAGCTGTTTTCAGGTTGCAGGAGAAGCATGGTGAGCAGTCAGGCACATTGGGCTGTTTCCAGAGGATGGTTGGAGTCCTCGGAGAACTGTTGTCCATGGCAAACATGAACATGAAAAGAGGTCAAGGAAGGTGGGTGGAAAAGTAACCCAGAGAATGGTGGGTAATTGCTACTTTGATTGTGAGAGGTCACCCAATGTAATTATTTTTCTCATTCCATCCTCAACTTGAACTCCTTAATTATTCTCCTCTTATTCCCCTTAATCTAGCCATGATACACAAAGACTATTGGAAATGTAGGAAATAGCATTACAAGGAAAGATTAGCCCCTGAGACATGTTCGTGGAGACTGGGCATAATATGACAAACGGTGCGGTGGAAAATACATGTAATTACAGTTATGCTAGTAATAGAGAAGAAAAAAAAAACATAAAAATTCCCCAGTCGCAGCTAGTGATCAAGAATAGAGCAGACGCAGTATGACAAGACTTTTTTCAAGTTACACTAGACATAAAAGAATTTTAAAAAAAATAAAAATAAAATCTCACCAGCGATCTGGTCAAATCTTCATTTTCATGACCGTAGACCGCACATATATCCAACAACTTGGGCAAATTAAGCAATTTTTTTTCCTGCAAAAGGACTACAGATAGAACAATGCATTAAAAGCAAGCACTTACAAAGAATGTTTTTACCATAAACAAATTGCTATGGCTATTGCACATTGATAAAGAATGGAACAAATTCACAGGCATACTCAAGCACCGCATAATGTGTCGTTATCTGTCATATACAAATTTCATCAAATATAAGTGGAAAATATGCAAGTTTTGTTACAAAAATTTAGTTAACTTGCAGGTGTGCATAATCATGCACCTGTCCAAGAGCTCAGTTCAAGTTTTATAAGATCACAAGCTTCTAATATTAATGTGCCTATTGATGATACAATTATGGAATAGGCAATGAAATTAGGATTGGCATTCTACTTCGGATCATAAGAAGCTATATAATAAGGTAAGATAAGATCCTACAACATTTGCATAATTCAAAAATTATACTTAAATAAGTTATTACTTATTATATTAGAAAAGCAACTTTTAAATTCAAATCTTTTAATAGTTCATTCAGTTGTTAATTGCATATTGATTTGCTTGTGAGTGTGTATTAATGTAATTTATGATTTTCTTTTAAGCGTAGACTCTGAGTTTCAAGGAATAAGAAGCAGCTGAGAGAGACCAAAAGATTTTCTTGGGAGTCAAAAAAGGATTCTTTTGTAGTGCTTTAGGGTCCAAGACTTGAGAATGTAAAACTGAGCCACTCACTACAATATAGCATTACCATCAGGACAATCTAAAGGATATAGAGTTGTTTATAGTATTTAAATGATCCTATGAGCGATTCCACAAGAGTTGAGAATGATCTAAGTCATTTGGCCATATTTGGATCATAGACCCTTATTGCAATATAATAACTTTAAATTTTGGCCTTCTCAATGAGAATAACTTATGAAATTCTCATACAGCCTGATAAGTTTATAACTGCATTTCCTTGTTTAAATTCTCATTACCTTTGAAACTGCCACAGCATGACTCAAAAGAAAAAATAATAAAAAGAAAAATACTGACAATGTAGCAAAAGCTCTAGAGTTGAAACCTAACTCTCATTCTTAAAGTTGGGTATACAGGTGGACTACTAGAATTTGGGCTGTGCTAAAGGGGCTTGACACTCAATAACCAGGTTCTAGAGGCTTGCATCCATGCCCGCCTCCCCCCCCCCCCCCCACACACACACACACCAACCCCAAAAAAAAAAAAAATAGAAAACAGTGCAAGTCACAGAGGTTATAATAAAGAGAAAAGGAAATACAAGATTACATCAATTTACCCTTACAAGGAAAGACAAGAAAGCTTTTAGAAAGATCAAAGAGATGTACCATAAAATAAATAAACTGTGGTCAGAAGTTAACAGTGAGCCTATCATTTTACAAGTAAGATAAACAAATCAAAGAAATCCCCATAAAGCAAGAAACCTTTTCTGATGTGAGGACCAATATCCTAGCCCATAGGATCTCACAACCTGTCACTTAATTGGGAAAAGATTGAACATAGATAACTTACCCTTCAGAAGCCCACATGATAAGGTCTTCTATTCATTCCTGGCGTCAAAGTTCGCATATTAATCTTAAGATATGAGAATGCTTAAAGGTTTACTCAGGGCACCCCTTGCTTTCCTCAAAATCTTCGTAAGCAAACGACCCTCAAGTATTTGAAAAAAATATCTCTTAGTGTTTGAAGTTTGGAAAAAATCGTACTCTAACCAACACACCTAATTAAGACAATAGCATGATAGGGTTTATGTTACCAGAAAATGCAGTTAGTTCAATCAATCAATCAATCAATCAAAGCCTTAATCCCATAAGTGGGGTCGGCTACTAAAAATGCAGTTAGTTAAAGACCGATAATGAAGTCATTAGCAAAGAACAAAAACAATAAAACAAATCAATTCCATTGTCTATCAACCGTTACTTAAAGATTTGATAAACAAACAGCATTAGTAGAAGCCAAGTTAAAGATAACATCCCAACATCAAACTAGATGTATGGCTCCAACTCTACATTCTTCTGATCAAAGACCTAATTCAATAGTAAGTGTCCATCTTCAACATAGTCCGAAAGTCTCTACGATCAAAAGGCTTTAACTCCCAATTAGCATAGAGTAAATCAAATGCCCCACTAAACTGTCACGTATTAATTTATTATCAATTTACCATATGTTTGCCTTTTGCAGCAAGGATTTACAAAGAGCAGCATTTTTGTAATAGCAGTGGTCAGGTTGAAATGCCTTTTGCGATAGTATAGGTAAGACTACAAAAATCTGACACCAGGACACAACCTCTAACCCACTACAAACAAGATTTACTATAGTTATTGTAATGATGTTATGGTACTGCTTACTCCAAGCCTGGAAAACAATCTAGTAGCATAATATAGATACAGACTAAACTCATAATTTAAAATTTCTGATAATTTTCTGTTGAGAATCCTAACATAGCATGTCAACACACGTAAAGCAACTACCAGAGGTTGCTTCATAATTTTAACATTACAGGTCATGTAAAGCTTCTAACCAGGGATTACTTCACTACTCCACATCGTGCAGTGCTCTAAATCTAAACAGTATTAGCACAGGCCATGAGAAGTTTTCAAACCATTATGTATTATATGAATACATATACAATCCATACCGTGCACAAATTATAAAGTCAGCAACACCAGAGCTACAGGGTTTTTTTTTTCAGAAAACCACAGGAAAACATCAACCATTAGATTATAACTAAGTGGAACTTTTACCCAGAAAATTTCCACCACATAAATATCCCCAACTTGAAGGCAATGGGAAACAAACTCCTAACCATGGTTGGGAAGTTAGAGTTCTAACATAGAGCTCCCACTTGATTTTCAGAGCTCAAATCTTACAAAAAAATCAACAACACTTGAGTTCATGACAAACAATCATAATTTAGTTCGAAGCTTAGTCTCGCGACACAAACTTCCTGTCAACCAAGTATTTAGTGCAGATGATATGGAGATTATGGACATAGTAAACCCCAGCAATGACTCAAGATACAAATCAAAACAGTAACTTGGATCTTGCAAAAGAACATCCCAACGAAGGTTAGATTATGTTGCAGAAATTCAAGACACATCCACAGTTTATGGTGCAAAGTACAGCTTAAGCACAGTATAATCATCTTATATCGCCATGAGCCATGCCATTTAATGGTCCATTACAACTCCAATAGCATCTAAGACAACCCACCTTGGTGATCTTTTGGACTTAGGCTTTCTGTGACTCGCAAACCAGGATCCTTATTAGAAGATCTGCAATAAAAGTTCGATACATTTCAAAATAATAATCATAAAACACAATATGACTACACTTCACAAATAGTATCATACTGAGAAAAGAAATAAATGCTACAATATTTAGCAAGGTTATTAAAGCTGAAAACTCACATCCTATACAATAACATGAAAACACGGCGGCTTAGCTCTAAGTCCCCAACAATAACACCAGCAACAATTCCCTTGGCTCCATGATAAGGGAAATCATACCATCTACTTATAAACTGCAGGAAACTGTCAAGAAATTCGTGCAAGGAGGCATCTACCGCCACTGAGAAGAAAAAGGAAGCGAAAATACCAAATAGAATGAATAACAACGCTTTGAAGCAAAAGAAAACTGAAGTATTAGATGCATGTCTACAAAAACATGAGGAAACATCTTATCTACTTCCAAAACAAAATGTGTACCAAGTAACATTTCCTCACCAAAAAAGTTTGAAGAACTCACGTATAAGGGTTATGATTTAGGAGGATCAAAAGAGGAATGTTACAGATTGCATGCCATTGCCTGAAATCATAATTATGATGATATATCGAAGGCTAAGCAGCTTAGGTTTGAAATATATTAGCATTTAACGCGAAGTTAAAGTCTTGGGGGTGATATCCGAGACGACACAAATCAAACTTCATGTTGTAATAATACTCAGTGGCATATAAAATAACCAAATTGTTTGTATAAAGAAAAAGGGAGTTAGAAATTAATAACCTTCACGCCAGAAATCTCTGGGTTTTAACTTGAGCAACCTAGCCAACTCTCTGTTAAGAAGATCGACGACTCTCTGAGACTCGAGGGGGTCTAGACCACCTTCCTCCGCACCCAAACCAACAGCTACAGCTTCATCCTGAGGAAGGTAATTTACGAAATTGCCCCCACCACCATTGTTGCTACTGGAAACCCACTCACCATTTGCGCCCAATTGAACTCTGCTACCCTTGAAATGAGGGGCGGATGATGCCGAATTTGAGGATTGAGATTGACGCACAGAAGCAGAGAAACTAGGGTTACTGGTTTGAGGGGTTGATGTTGCTGAATTATGGTTAGTTTGGGGGACGAATTGCTTCTGGGTTTTGCCACGAAAGCCCCTGTTGACGGAGAAATTGGGGTTTTCATACCTGTGATTAGACGATCGGTTTGACATTGTGAGCAGTTTGGAGAAGAGGGGAATGGAGATTGTAAGGACGAATAGCAGGAGGGTTCGCCTTCACTGATCAGCGAATTTTGTTGTTGAAAATACTGAAACTAAAAAAAATATTGGGAAATTTTCATTGGTAGCCCTGTACTTTTGTTTATCTCTAGCCACTTTGCATATAAATTATTTTTGGTAGCTTTCAACTTTTAAAATGTTATTTCCGTAACCTTATAACCTTATTTAGTTAAAAACCTTAACATAAGGTTAACTTTGAATTAGAGTTATTTTAATTGTTAATTAATCTTTTAAAATTAATAATAAAAAAAAAAAAAATCATTTCTTCTTTCCCCCTCTTCCACCGAGTTCACCCCCGTAGCCGTACTGTTCCTCTCTCTCTCCTCCCTTTGCTAATTAATTTTTCCTCTCTCTTAAAATTCTCCCAAACTGTTTGATGATAGGTAGATCTAAGCCTCCTCCTTGAAGCTTACTCTTGACCCTTTGAGTTCTCCATCGAAGCAGCTTTTAGCTTTCTCTCTTCCATTGAAATAGTTTTGAGGTAAGATGGTTTTTGTAATCATCGAATATCAATTTCCCTTTGAAGCGTAATCCACGTTGTCCATGGTGGTTCGATTGTGGTGAGGGGCTGAGGGCATGGTGGTGATATTTGATTCGATTGCTGGGTGGGGATTAATTGGGCTAAAATTAGAGCTTGCGGCGCTGCTCGATAGTGCAGCGGTGTGGTGCTGTTGGCTGTGGGTTGGTGTGACGGTGGTTGATTGTTCGGCAGCTACTATGTGGCAATTGTGGGGAGCTGCCCGAATGCTTGCTGGTGTTGTGGGTTTGGTGCATGGGGGAGTAGGGGAGGCAGCAGGAATAGTAGTGTGGAGGGACGGCCGGGGAAAGGGTGTCGGGAATTGGACGCGCCGGTGGGAAAGGGTGGGCCGGTGCCGGCAGCAGAGGGGGTGGCGTGGCTGGTTGGGGGAGGGGTTTTTTTTTTAATTAATCAAATATAATATAACTAACCTTAGTTAAATATTTTTTTTAATTTTTATAAAACTAACTTCCGTTAAACTTAACAGCTAGTTAACAGTTTTTAACCACATATAAGGTTACAGAAGTAACATTTTAAAAGTGGAAGGCTATCAAGATAATTCATATACAAAGTGGTTACCAATAGAAATAAGCAAAAGTTGATGGCTATCAATTATAATTTCCCAAAAATATTTTCTAAGGCCCCGTTCACTTCACCTTATTTTTGCTGAATTGAAATTATTTTTACTGAACTGAAATTGCTAAATTTAAATTAATTTTATTAAACTGAAATTACTTTTGCTGAACTGAAATTATTTTTGCTGAACTGAAATTATTATTACTGATTTTTTATTACATTTCTTCTTTATATTTACTGAATTTTACTGAAGTGAACTTAATTTTACTGAACTGAACTTTTTACTGAAATGAAATGTAACACCCCCAATTTACTAGCTAATAATAAATAAAGGAAAAATAAACAACCTTTAATAAAAACTGCGGAAACATACACCTAAATCGGAGGTATTACCGTCACACTCAACAACTTGTCAAGTGTTAAGGCTTACAAAATCCCAATAATTACAACCCAATAAACTAGGTGAGCTATTTATAAAACTTTACAAACTTGTGATGAGTGACATTTATGTCGCTCTTAGGGTAGTCTTTTCTAGTAGTTTTAGTAATAATTTGGTCCATTTTAGTATGTTTTTGCTATGATCCGCCTAGTTTGAGTATTCTACCTTTGTGATGCGTAATTTGTATTCATGTGGTTTAGGTAGTCTATACTCCCCTCCCCCTTCGTTGTATTACGCTTTGCCCTCTTGTTCCATGATTGTAGGTGTACGCCGTTGATTCGGAGATGGAAGGAACAAGGGCAAAACGGGAGAATTCCAAACCAGACAAATGGCGCGGGCGCGCCACCAGAGGAGCGAGCGCGCCACCTATAAGCGCGGGCGCGCCTCCCATGAGCGCGAGCGCGCTGATGAGCTGGACCAACCATTAAATACCCACTTTGGAGCGGGCGCGCATTTCGAGGAGCAGCCACGCCATCATTTAACGCGTGGGCGCGCCTATGTTGGGCGCAGGCGTGCCTGTCTGCTGCGGATTCAAATCCCGAATTCAGTCCAATCAACAAAAGGGAGGAAAAACGGCTAACTTTGGATAACATTCTATCATTAGGTTACTTTAGCATAGAAACCTTGGAGGAGAGCTTTTGAGGAATTTTTCTAGGTTACTGTTTTAGCCACTTTTGTATTGAAGAATCTTGATAGTTTTTAGTGTAATTTCATTGCCCATCAACATTAGTTTTACTCCTAGTTTTTGAAGAAGTATTTTGCAACATTGATGTATGGTCAAGCTTGGAGCTTGGACGATGTATGGTTCTTTACTTGGATTTCAATGAAGGTTTTGGTATATTTCTCTATTTTCTCTTGTTTTTATGATTAAAGTTTCTACCTTTGTTAGTTTAGTTGGTAAAAACCTTGTCTTTCTTACTATTTCATCATTGGTTATAATGTTGCTTAGTATGATTATAGTTGTAGTTATAGATAGTGAGTAGTTTCTTGTTGCTAGGGGTTTGGTGAAGGTATGCTTTGAGTTTGATGTATGTTAGGCTAGGTTAATTTGGAATATTTGTGATTAAATCTTCCTTGTGCTTATACTTATTGGCCATTCCATGTTTATGGCCATATGCATGTTTTGGTTGAGTGACTTGAACTAAATCATGACGATAGTGTGATTTAAGAATAGTCATTAGGTGATTGATTATTGCATGACCTTAGTTTGTATGCCTTATGACGATAGTGTAAGTGTATGCTAGCTAGGATAGCTCTTAATCCCGATAGGTGATTAGAGAGTATTCTTGACATTGCCTTGTATGAGTTGCTTAGGTTACATGTAAACCTATTTTTCGATGCCTAACTTCGTTGAATTCATAGTATGTTTGATCCTTCCCCCTAGTGCTTGTTTTAATTGTTATTCTATCCCCTTTAGTCATTACTTTACCTACCATACTTCTTGATCGAACTAGATTAACATTAGGAGATAAATAGCGGTGCTTAATCGTTTCCCTGTGTTCGACCCTTAACTTGCCTCTATACTCGTTTAGTTGCATGTTCATGACTACAAATATCATTTGATAGAGGTGTCTTAGTAACGACCTAAAATACCGCCTGTCAACTTGTTATAAAATACTAATCGAAACACTTGAGCTCCTTTAGCTACGATCACTTGATCAACCTGTTTAGACAAACTTGACTACTCACCATTAAGGACAAATCCCAAAATAGATCGTCGCAGGGCCACCATAAGACAAAGACATGGCCGCAAACACAGATAGCACAACAAAACAATACACACGTCAGCAAAAAGCTAAGTAATCACCACTGATCAAAATACAAAGAACAATAGAATAATTAATATAATTAACTCACTTAAACAATGTAGTTCGAAACTACATAACACATATACACCTCAAGGGTAAAATAATTTCGTACTCTGAAAATAACCTTTGTCAAACTCAACCTCAAATAATAATATGATCTTTTACTCAATTAACTCATTTATCCCATAAGTGTGCCCCACGCTCTTTGTCTTATGCCTAGCCTTGGACATGAGTAATTCGAATAAATAAACCAACAAGTATAAAAACTTGAATACTCTCAATAACCAGAAAACACCTTAACCAGGACCAATATGGGTCAAATCCCACTGTAGGGGACCATAGAAAAATATAAATAAAGATTGTATCTCATTCTTAACTCATGATCATTATCTTCTTACCAACAAGCCAAGGACTAAGGTAATTAACATCGAGCCTCAAACCAAGAACAAAATAATAATTCTCAACCCTTTTGATCTCATACTTGATCAAATAACCATTCACAGGTTAATATACAATATCTCAATAATGGCACAGGTTCCCAAATTATATAACATGACGTACTCGATTCATATAATATCTTAACACTTACAGGACAAACATACTAATTCCCAAATATAATTAACTCACAACCCAAAAACAATATGAGTAACCCTAAAACCTCAATATAACAATACTCCCTATAGCAACAACATGAAAAACCCTAGATTTAATAACACAATCAATCAATACAACAATTAAATCATATAATACAACACACTAATCACATATATATAAATTGATCCTATAAATAACAAATTATAAAATTTTACACACAATAATATGAAGTACAATCAATACTAACAATCTATAATCAAACAACTCCAAGAATTAAAATTGTGTGATTACCTTTCCGACAAATACCAAAACAACGAGACACAGTTGAGAACCAAATATGAAACAATTACTCCAACACTTCATGTAGAATGACACGCAAATTGCACAGTGAGTGATGAGCAAAATAATTAAGTCAATCAATTGCACGCCACTCGAAACTCACGTCCAATAATTGATCATGAGAAAATGTAATGGTGTACATGTGCTCTCGTAAAATTTGTATCAAAGGTAAATATAAAAGGCTTGATGCTAAAAGTTTGGGTGAATTCATAAATCAAGGTATTGCTTGATAAGAAAATCAAGGTTTGATTGTTTCAAAAGCAAAAGTGACGAGTAAACGACGAAGTAAGAAAATAAATCATAATGCAGTAAAACAATTGATAGCTATATTAGAGTTTATGATAATTTTTATAGGATAACAAAAATAGAGTATAAAAATTCATAAAATAATTTAAGATATCATATTTTATCCATAAAATATATTTGATAAAATCTTTAAATATTAGGGTATTACATGAAATTATTTTTACTTAATATTATTTTTTAAGGTGAAGTGAATAGCGCTTAACTCTGAATAAAGTCCGCACTAATTTATTTATTTATTTATTTATTTTACCAAGGTCGAAAGGAAACACAATTAACAAACTATACAGTACGTTAGTATTAAAGCAAAGTATGAGTAGTAGCTTCTCTGGAAATCTGATGAGGATTGTGAGCTAGCTGTCTATTTGTCTTGTAAATATTGCATTACTCAAAGGTTGACCCTATGTAATCCATACAAGATTAAAATAACAAGATTAAAAGAATCCAAAAACGCCATAGGATGTTTATGTCGCCACGCCCATCACCTCGAAATAAAATAACAAGATTAAAAGATTCCAAAAACGCCACAAGCGACTGTATATTAACATTTGAAGCCCATTGTAATCTATACAAGCAAGTTAAGGCTTTCGCATATAAAGGACCCAAAATTACTACCACCTGTTATACTAGGCACTTACACGTACAATTGTAAATTGTATTGCATAGATTAATAGGACGGAGATGACTCACCTCCGTCGGGGTTGCAATCTTTGTAATCATTACTAGCAGAGATTGATTCCATTCCTTTAGAAGGAACACAGTATGAAAGAAACCTTGGATAGCCAAAACAACAGATTCTCCTACAGTTTGCCAATATAGCTTAAAAAATTCCGCCGTGACACCATCCGGCCTTGCAGATTTACAGTCGCCCAAAGCAAATGTTGCATCTTTTATCTCCATAGCATTGAATGGCTATTCTAGATTTTCAATTTGTGACGAGGTAAACGTGGGGAGATGTAATTCCTCAAGTACAGTGTCTATCTCAAGGCCATAAATCGAAATTACATCAGTCTTGAAAGTTGTTTTTAAAGATTGCACTACAATTTGTTGAACCTCCTGTAGCCCATTTTGTAGCACCCCTTGATCATTAAACAAAGAAGAGATAATATTCTTCTTTTGACAACATTTAACCTTGGAGAAAAGAAGCTTAGAGGAACATTTCCCATTCAAGAACCAATTCTTTTTGTAGCACTGTCTCTAGAATTGAAGTTGTAACAATATATTTTGCTTTGAATGAATAACTATATTAGACATATAGAGAGTAGCATTTGAAAGGTAATGAATTGCTTCACTGTCATACAAAAAGGTCCTTTGAAAAGTTCTTCCAGTCGACTCCCCAAAACTTTTAATTATCCAAGCATCACCAATTCCTAATTAAGACCCTGGCATCCGCAAGTTTCCTAGAGAGGTTAAACATAGGTGAGCCAGTAACGTTACAATGCCAAGTTTGAAGAACAAATTGATGGATAGCTCCATAGTTAAGGCACCAATTATCCAATTGGTAAGGCTATTTGAAACTCAAAGCAAGGACGTATCTTCAAAAACTATAGCCGCATGATCCGAAAGTAGAATTGGTTGGTTAAAAAGCCTATTTTCCGGGTAATAAGAAAC